GGTTAGGAGTGAGCAGGGGAGAATTTAATGCTCCACACTGCTGAATTGTTCATATTTTTCCAAAGAGCATGAATTGACTTGTAATTTTAAAAAGCTCTCAAGCCCTAGCTAACTTGGCTCAGCGGATAGAGCATCAACCTGTGGACTGAAGGGTCCTGGGTTCGATTCCAGTCAAGGGCACATGCCCGGGTTGTGGGCTCGATTCCCAGTAAGGGGTGTGCAGGAGGCAGCCAACCAATGATTTCCTCTCATCATTGATGTTTCTTTCTCTCCCTCCCTCTGCCTTCCTCTCTGAAATCAAATCAATAAAAACATATTGAAATAAATAATTTTTAAAAATTGAGGAATAGCATACCTACAGCAAAGTTTATCATCTTAAAAACAATGCTCGGTGAAATTTAGGAAATGTGTATGTAGCCATGTACCCCAAGCTAGATCAAGATAGAGAGCTGACAGGTGACGTTCCCACAGGAGGTCCCCAGCTCCCACCTGGGGCCGACTCAGGCAGGCGGGCTCCTGAGCCTGTGTCTGAGCCTCCGTGGCACACATATCACAGTCCCTCTTCCAGAGGTTTCTGGCGTACTGTGTCTTCCTGTTGATGTGGCTGGCGCGGAAGCAGAGAGCACCCGGTTAGGAAACGTCTCATCCCACAAGCAAATGCCAGTCGGGCCAAGTCCCGGGATTAGAACCGAGCAGACAGGTGCCCGAGGTCCTGAGCATCTCGTGTCACGTGCAGGTCGGCGGAGGGAGGAAAACGGGCTCCGTGTGACAGCTGTACGCACCCCGCCTCGTGCGGTGAGATTTACGGACATTGTACCTTAAAATCTTCAACCAATGCCAGGAGGTAGGCCCTGTTTCCATTTATATTTTAGGGACTAAAAACAGTGAATGTCTGAGCAGTGAAGCAACAACTCGCCTAACATAACTTAGCTAGTGAACAGTGCAGAGGCTGCTTCCAAACCCCAGACTCTATTATAGAGTTCAGGGAATCACCTGTGGGGTGAACTGCTTTCATTCAACAAGAAATAGATAACAGAAGTATTAAGAAATGAGATTAAAATGGAGGTGTGACTTGTCTATAACATATAAAGCCAAAACGGCCGTGTGGCTGTCCACGACAGAGTTCACCCCAATGATGAAGTTAAAAAGACTCTAACAACATCTGTCAACTATTTGCCACAACAGCCATGGAGTCAGGACTAAAAGTATAGGCCAAAATGCACAAGCCAGAGAGACTCCCAGGCAGCTAACCTAAGCCAATGGGGTGTGTTCAAAGTGACAAAGATCCAGGATGATCCCAAAACTAATAAGGCCATGGCAAAACACACATACATACACATGTACACATACATACATACACGTGAATACACAGGTGTTTTTTGCCATGGTCTTATTCAGTATCTGCCTATGTACATACATACATATTCTCTAAATACACAGAAGCATAAATGTATTTAGATTTTTTCTTCATGAAAATCACACTTCACTAGACGTTTGGGAACATATCAGTAATATGGTGATTTAGAATCAAAATTCTTTTTAAAGCCAGGATTTCTTTTCCAAAGGCAGGCTTGTCAAATAGGGTGGATAGACTAATTACCCTTGGTTTTTATTGTAGGGCTGCTTGTTTATTTCCTGATTCTTGTAGCCAATTTCATGCTAAGATAGAGTCTAACATTACCGGGCATTGGATTTAAGAAGACACAGGAGGAAAAGTGCACAGTAAGAAAACAAACTGCCGCTCAACCACGCCTCTGCCTCAGGCTGTGGTGCCTGTTCCTTTTCATACACAAGTTCCTGAGGGAGAACTCACAGGGAGCCCCACACAGGCAACCCCACTGCATAGTGCAAGAAAGATGATCTGCCGGCACACAAAGGAATTCTGTTTTATGAAGGTCAGAGATTTTCCTTTCTGATGCCCCAAGTCACCAATCCTCTTGATAGGAAAAGAGGTGGTGATAGGAGTAATGCCCAAGGACACTTGCTATATTGAACTTGGGATTTTTCATAGTAAGATGCCGCGCATGTTATGATCTGGCATTGTTGCCTCATGTTCTTATCACCGGGTTTCATACAAATGACCCATCTAGCTCCTAGGGTAGCAGGAGGGACAGAGCTCGCCAGGTGTTCTGGTCAAGGCAGGCAGGATTACGACAGAACATTTATATGGTGTTTGTTTCTTTCAAAGGATCTTTTCTTAGCTATCTCTCGTCTTTCTCAGAGAAAATGACATAAAGCAGATTCATTCAATGTTTAATCACTTGGGTTTCCTTTACTTTCTTGGGTGTCATCCTACTAACTGATGGGTTGGACGGGAAGGAGAGTGCACGCCCACTGCTAGAGAATGGTGCACAGTAAAGCCGTCACGATGCGGGCGGGAGAGTCTTAGAAACGAAAACCAGGAGCCACGTGTATGGTCCTCAGGCTGGGGAGAGGCAAGAGGCAACAGGACCTTGCAGGTTAGGCTAGTTCTCAGTTTCCTTCTTAATCTTGGCAACATTTCATATATTATTAAGATGTGTTTGATCCTTTTAGAAAGTCTGAATGAATTAGCAAGTAATTACTGAGCAGTTCAGACTTGGGCAGGGCAAAGAGTGGGCAAACAGGTCCTCTCCTGAAATGGCCCTCCTCACTTGGTCTAGTGAATGGTTGCTTGTCTGAGATTCATTCATTCATTCATTCATTCATTCAAGTAATACGAAGTGCCTGCCCTACACCAGGTCTGTCGAGCCTTGGCAGTGTAGTGGCAAACAAAAGACACAGCACTGGCCCTCATGACTCTTATAATTTGTTGTCTTCAGATTTGCTGAATATTTTCTCATTCATTAAAATAGACATATTTTCACTATAAAATCATGTTATTATCATTATTTAGTTTATACCGTATAATGATGGCAAACTCTGTTCAGCATAAATGTACGTGACGACAGAGGGTACAAGCTATAGTGCGGATTAGTGGACACTTACTCTACATAGTAGACACCATAGACAGGGTCTTCAATCTTTTCCCAACCGGCAGGCAGTTCTGAAAAATAAAAGAACATTTAGAGAGAGAAGAGCATATTCTTAAAGAGCCTAGGGATTGTCAACAAGTTAGGCAAAAAGAAGTTCATAAAAGTACCTTAAGGCCAATTAAAACTGTGTATCCTAAAAGAAAAGCCAGTATTATTTTTATTTTATCAGTGCATTTTTTTCTACATGAAGAACAATTATTTACTGGTATTTTGCACAAGCAAATGAAATGTAATAAAATGCAGTCCCAGGTGCCTTCATTCTAAACCAACTATTAAATTAGACTTTAATAAAAATGTAGTTAAAATTTGCCCAGTTCCTATCTTAAATATTTATCGTTTTCTCGTTTTATTTCTAGACTACCTAACATGAAAGCAACATTAGATAAAAATGTGTTACTTTTCAGGCTCTTTTCATCGTGCTGTTTTTCACTTCCTGGAATAAGGTAAGATGTACATCTTATTTTCTCCTCGTTCCTAATAAAAAGGCTACCAAATAGACATGCCCACAGTGAGCTGTTTCTGAAATGCATGCGCCCATCCCTCACTACTCTACCTGGGCCGGCCTATTTCACCAGCAGTTTGCCTACGAAAGCAGAAACAGTTCTCACTAGCCTACAGTTCCTTCAAATGTGGTGGTAAATGGCATCGGGGGGTCCACACACAGGGGTGGGCAAAAGTAGGCCGACAAGTTGTTCGCATGGAGGACACGCAGGTTATGGCTATCACTATGGCTTTATTAAGTCAAAAGAACGTCACATGCAGCCGTGAGCCCACTTTGCCCAGCCCCGGGGGAGTGCCTTTCTGAAAATTCGACGGTGCTCTACTGGACTTGACTTTGTAAGTTTCAGATCAAAGGCTGGCACTTTATTAACTAGGTCACAGTGAGGGCTGTCACACCAATCGAGTGCGAGAAAGCCCACTGCACCAGAAAGGCTGACGAGGTGAAAAAAGCGACTAAGGTTGTGTTCTGTGTCATTAAACAAAGCCTAGGCGGAGAACAATTACTCGACTTAATTTGAAAGCCACCTGATACACACATGGGTACACAGCTGAGGCAAGCTTGTATAATACAGGGCTCCAAAGCGAGTCATCATTCCTAGAAGTAGCCATTAAATAAACCCACTTAAGTGGGATTTACAAACACTGAATATATTTTGAAATGCTAGATTTTTTAAAATGCATGGGATCACGTGACCATTATTTTTAAATAGTGACCGTTTCATCAGGGCTTACATATGCCACCAACGGTTCCATGCTGAAGTGGGTCCTGAGCGTGCACTCAAACACACAGATTAATTGCTTCAAGTTCACGTCTTCCTCAAATGTGGCTGCACATCAAGACACATTAATTTCATGGTTTCTGCTCCACAGTGTGTTTGCAAACAAAAAGACAAGGTTCCCCCCTCCCTGCCCCCTTTCTTCTCATTTAAAAACACACAGTGAGCAGGTTTTAAAGAAGTCTTTGAATTTCTTTAAAAACATTCAAGGATGTAAGCTACTAAAAGGCTAGACAGGTCCAATTTACAGACGTTGATAAAACTTGGCATTTTTTATGGGCAGAGCTTGTGGACTAATGCAAATCACATGCTGGGGAAATGGTTTCCCTTACAACACTGGAAATTACCATTTAAATTAAAAAGAACCGGGAAGATATTTCCAAGGAGTTGGGAAATCAAAGATTAAAAAAATGCAAATTGGTGCACAGTCTTGTATTTGTGCAGGCATGGGGCAGGGGAATGGGTGAGTGGGAGAGGGCCACATTATGTTTAATGGGCCAACTTTCTTTTCAGAATCTAGAACCTTAAATATTTGGCCCTATTATCTTCAGATAAAATAGGGAAAACATTAAGAATTCAATTCATCCCATCATTAATTTCTCAAACATTCAGTGAGTGCCTGCTGTCTGCCGGAGTGTGCTAGGCACCCGGACACAGGTCACTACGAGTGCCCCATCTGAGCGGACAGTTCAAACGCTGCAGGTACGTGCTCTGGGGGGGTCGGAGAGTTCAAGGGAAGGGCCACTCTGCCTGCCTTGCCACCCAGTCAACAGAGGATGAGGTCGCTCAACTAGGATGTCTGGACATTTGCAAATCTAAACACAGCTTCTAGGACAGATGAGCAAACTGTAAAAATGTTCTAGTTTTTCAAGTAAAACTCATTCAAAAAAGAAAAGATAGGTTTTGATTTCTCACTTCCAAGGTGGTGATTAGTTTAATAATAGGAATTAGTCCCCCCTACTGCTTAAAATAGAAATGGATCATCGATTTAAAAAAGGAAGATGTTTGTCCTCAAATTTGCCAATTTGGCTCTAAAAAACTGAAAATAGCATAAAATATTGAAGTTCAGAAAAAATGGCATCATCCGACCGGACTGCACAGCCTGTGCCGAGATTTCGGGCACCAGGACCCACGGGGGCTGCCCAGCCCTGGATGAACCGGGCTCCCCCGCGGAGAGCTGGACCTGGTCTAGTTAGTCAACATCCTGGGAGCAGATCTTTTCCTGGAGTGACCTCAAAGGCCACGGCAGATTAAATGAGGGTGTTTGTAAAACACTTTGCACAGCACCAGCTGGCACACGAGGAACGGACAGCTTTTACGGCCTGCTTGCTTGCTGCTCCGCCTCTGAAAACCTCATGTTGTACTAATTGCCATCACAGAAGCAAATACAAAGCAGTCGAATGTTCTAAGTTCTTTTCTAAGGGATTCGTCAGCACACAGACAGAAAGTCATGTTCATACTCAGAGATACATTTCAAAGCTGTGACTTAGTTTGCGTTGGAGGAGACCTCCTCTCTACTCTCCTAGCTGCATTCAGCACACGGATACCCCGTGATTCCAAAAGGTTTGCAAGTGCTTTTCAATTCTGGGGAGATGTTATTACAGAGGATGTGCCCCATTCTGCAAACCAAACGTGCATCATGAAGCTAATGACCCGATCACACAACACAGTTCAGAAATGACAACTCTATCATCAAAGGATGTGTCCAACCCGTGCCAACAACCCCGCCTCAGAGGCAGATTTCAGAGCGGGTGTCCTGGTCGCACTGGAATTGCATTGTTCACCGGAAACCTGACAGTTGCTATTGTTTAAGATTAGGTTCCTCTTGTTTAAAAAAAAAATGGTAATGGCTTGTCAATAGAATCTGGAGTGAATGCAAAAAAAACTGTGTGTGTATGTGTGTGTATGTGTGCGTGTGTGTGTGTGTATGTACACTAAGGCCATTGAAGTGAACACATATAGGCAAAAATCAGGAGCCCTATTCCCATTACACCTTCAAGGACACATTTGGGCCATTTCTATAGTACACATGTTCGTCTCCTGTTCCATATTAAAGAAGTACCATAAGGAAGTACTGAAAAGTCCATAAGAGGGACTTAGGTAATCCTATATAATAAAAGAGGTAATATGTAAATTGACCCTCATGCCCTCACAGGCGATTAGGCTGGCATGGGGGGCACTGAGGGGCAACTAGGCCAGCAAGGGGGCAGTTAGGGGTGACCAGGGCCAACAGGTGGGGCAGTAAGGGGTGACCAGGTAGGCAGGCAGGTGAGTGATTGGGTGACCAGGTAGGCAGGCAGGTGAGTGATTAGAAGCCAGCAGTCCAGGATTGTGAGAGGGATGTTTGATTGCTGGTTTAGGCCTGATCCCTGGGATCGGGCCTAAACCAGCAATCGGACATCCCCCAAGGGATCCTGGATTGGAGAGGGTGTAGCCTGATCTGACCTGAGACAGTTACTCCACTTCCAAACCACCACCCAGGACTGTGGTCAGGACCATGAGAAGGGACACTATGCAGCCACTAAAACTTCTTTGTTAGAGTCTGTGAACGGATAGGGAAATTCCCACCATGTTACAGTTACGTGGGGAAAAAATACCTCTTTCCTAAAAATGTCAATGTTCGAACTTGCATAGAAGCAAAGAAATGTGTGCCCTGCACTTGCTCATATTATGTCCACCAGCTATGCAGACAGTGGCCACTCACACCTATTAGCTGGGCAGCAAGAGTGGCTGGAATTGTTTCATCAAGTGAGTAAGGCACTCATTTTATGTCCAGAAAACCTAGTTCTGCCTCTTTCAATTATTTTACCTAACATCACCGGACTGATAAATTTAAAAAAAAATAAAATTAGTTTTATATTGTTCTATTACACAGGTTGAATCTCAAGTTATTTCTACCACCATGACTACAAAGGAAACTTATTAATCATGTTTAAAATAGATCTATAAATGGTTATCGACCATCACTGGCATATCCATCAATTACAAGAGAATATGTCCAAACATTAAGAAAAACAGAGCTAAATTCTAGTATATCATAACTCTGGTCTTTATCTATCAAACAAAATCAAATAATATTCTGTATGAAATATTCATTATTTTCCGTTAAGGCAATCTTTAAATGCTAGGCTGGTTCAATGATCTCAGGACAGTTCCTTTCACATTGATGTTATACAATTTTCTATTTTAAAAATATACTATGGTCAATTCTCAACCAGCCGAGGCTTCTTGTGCAGTTTAGCTGAACTGGAGCTTTGGTGTCGATCCTCCCATGAAGGGAGCAGATGGCATGCAAGCTGATATAAACAACATTGAACAGGTAACTGAGCAGGGAACAGTGTTCATGCAGTCCGGTAGCAAAGAAGGGTAACAGAGTTTGGCATTTTCCGCTAATGTGAATAACTTCTAAAATATCACAGCTGGGGTAGTCTAGACTTGATTTACATAGATACATACACCCTAAGAAAATGGGCCACATTCACCACAGGTACAAAAGTGTGGCCATGACTTAATGACAATACAATACTGACGACAGTAGCTATTCAGCTAATACTCACTGATAAACTGTATTAGTGTTGCTCTTGTAATGATCCTTGAATTAGTCTGATAGGTTTTTATTTGTTTTGCTTTGCTTTTTTGGGATTATCCACCAAACAAATAAAAAACGAGGCTGAGAAAGGTTACATGAGGGAGTTCAAGGGGCGTGGCAAGCCTCTAGCCCTCTGTTTTTTCTTAATCCTCAGGCACAAGAAAACCCAGCACCCACTGCGAGCTCTTCCTCTCTGTAGATGTAACTGATTACAGCTCGCATGCTCTGCAGTCAGACATGTGGGCTGTAAGACTGACCCCTGGTGGGTGAACTGGAATGGAAATCCTAGTAGGAGAATGCAAACTAAAGAACCCGGGCGCGTAAGCCATTCGCTGGCGACAAAGCCGTCGCAGGGCGTCATGCAGCAGCCGCAGCTGCGGGTTTACCTAGTTCACTGTCCAGCTCCTCCGTGTGGACACCTTCTTCTCCAAAGGAATAGCAGGAATAGAAAACAATTCAGACACCAAGGAAGAAACTCCCCTCAGACAACAGCAGCAAACACACTCCGTGACTTGGTCCTTACCTGCATCGTGGCTAATAAACGGGAGACCTACCTCAGTGGAAATCACCAGACGGCAAGGGCTGATACTGAGCGTAATTATATGGCTCATTTCCTTCCATTGCAAAATGGAGCTTGATTGGTCGTTAAAGATGAAAATACCTTTGTGGTTTCAACGCTCTTAAGCGAAAAGTCCTTATTACTGACCAACTGTGCTGTTAGACCTGTCCATAGGGGTCCTTTAATCCTCCAGTAACTCTCTCATCAGCGAGGCAACTACACACACAACTGCAGCAACACTTAACTTCCCTGCGACACTGCTGCCTGAGGGGCGGCGGGCACACACTGAGCATGCAGACGGGACAACGAGGGGTTAGAAAGATGGATTACGTCACGATGATGCACATTAGGGAGGAAGCAAAGCTTGAAGGCTGCCCTGAAGGAGGCAGTTTATGTTACATGAGTTTTCTAAGTCAGAGAGCTCGGAAATATTAGAATGAGAATATTCTCAATAATTTCTGTGAGCAACGCAAGTGAAGGTGCCTTCCATTCTTGGACCGCCCCACCCCCCTCTTGCTGTCAGCCAAACATTTTATTACCTGCGGTGAGAACACAGGACAGCACACACATTTCATACATAAAGTCCCTCTGGCGCCCGAGCGGGGGCTCTCTCTCCACAGTGAGCCCCCAAACCAGGGAGCACGCTGCTTTCACTGGTGCAATTGGCTCAGTGCCGTGTGGTTTGGGCACATGAGAGGGACTAACCATTTCTCAAATCGATTGCTGACTTATAACCCACATGGCCCTAAGCACCTTATGCACTTTTTATTTAAAGACTATACAACTGCCAACAATATGTTTTGATGCTGGCATTGTTTCTCAAAGAGGGAATATGATTTACGTAAAACTTTCATGAGCATGCCCATTTGGATATTATTTAATAATATCTTTGGGGGCATTCATTTATTGCTTCAATAATGATTTAATGAGACCGACTCTGTGCCAGTCACTATGCCAGGTGACAGAGGGGCAAAGCGAGCACAATCACCCCCATCCTTCCGGAGGGGGAGACAAGCCCACGCTCACGCAAATAAAGATGAAAGGAAAACTGGGACAAGTCCTCCATGTAAGACATGGAATAAAGCGACCTAATCGCATCTGTGGGCAAGGTCACGGGAACGCACTCTGAGCGGTACTCTGGATACACAACGTTTAACAAAAACACTTAGAGTGAAAAATGATTAGAATTGAGGTTCCCTGAGAGCAGGGCTTTTTGTTTATCACGTTCACTGATCCATCTGAAGTTCCTAGGATGCACCTGACAGACAGAAGGCACTCAATGAATAGATGTGAAATGTCAGTGTTCTGTGAGGGGACTCCACATCTAACCAGCATGCAGCATGTCCACAAAGACTCGAAAGAAATATGGAAACAATATTGTGACCCACAATGTTAGTCTGCTTTGTGTTAGGACATACACAGTACAAGGCAGCGTTGTTACCTGGCAGCAGACAATGCAAGTATAGGAACCTGTATTAGTCACGGTGCTATAATCTGGTTATATATTTACCAGTATACTGTTAGTGTACACAGGCACGTAGGCATACATACAATTTCTGCTAGAAAAAGAATATGTGAATTCTAGCGTTGAGGGATAATTACTAAACTAAGTGCTTTTGGTCTGAATACATACTTGTTCCAAAGCAAATAACATTAACACCCATGATAAGAAACCTAAGAATTAAAACTTACTAGACTTGGTAACAAAACCATTCAGTAATTTTAGTCAATACTTTTACTGCATGAACACTTTTTTTCTCAGTACAAACTATTGGAGTTCTCTACAACCTCTGAACTTATGTTCACAGGCATTTTCACACATTCCCAGTGTAATTATGATGGATACTGACATGAAAGACCCTATGGTAACACGGGTGCCTGAAGTGACTTCAGAATTGTCAGGCTTCAAATAAAGTTTAAATTTTGTTCCATGACATTTGACGGTTGAATGTATACTATGTCCTGATCTTTGAAAATCCGTCACCTCTGTATTATATGTCACACTGAACGTGTGAATAGTCAGGATAGTCCATTAGCCCTTGCACATGCGAAATACTGCAGCAACCACACCTGCTCCATTCCTTCTTCAGGAACGGACTCAGCAAGCAAATAAAATGGGCATTTCAGTCAGGTCTTCTCAGCCAAAAGATGTGTATTTCTACTTGAAGCCAATCAGATAAATATGAACATGCACATCTACGTTCATGCCATGTCATCTGTAGCCCATGAGCAGTGGAAGTGTCCTAGAGGACATGCTAGTCTAATAGGTTGTACTTCACTGCTTACCTTTTCAGACACGCGTATACATAACAATTCTGCCTCACAGCACACATTACTAAAGGTTCACTATCTTACAGTAAGATAATTATACTAATTCAATAATGACACTAATTCAAATGCCAGCAATGAATAATGAGTAGCAAAGCAAACTCTTTCC